CAGATAGTCAAAAATAACAGACAGATAGATAGACAGGCAGATTGATAGATAGACAGATCGATAGAAAAACTTATAGATAGTCAGATAGTCAAAAGACAACAGATAGATAGATAGATAGATAGATAGATAGATAGATAGATAGATAGATAGATAGATAGATAGATAGATAGATAGATAGATAGATAGATAGATAGATAGATAGATAGATAGATAGATAGATAGATAGATAGATAGATAGATAGATAGATAGATAGATAGATAGATAGATAGATAGATAGATAGATAGATAGATAGATAGATAGATAGATAGATAGATAGATAGATAGATAATAAAGAGAGTATATTATCCAAACTCTAGCAATATCTAAACGATTTTCTGCCACGAAACCTGAATGACATGATCTTGAAATTTAAGGATTATAACCAAGATAAGGATTATTTACACTCTAAGGATTATTCACAATATAAGGAATATTCACAAGATAAGGATTATTCACAATTCAAGGATTATTCACAATATAAGGATTATTCACAAGATAAGGATTATTCACAAGATAAGGATTATTCACAAGATAAGGATTATTCACAAGATGATAAGGATTGTTCATGAGAGAAGGATTATTCGTAAGATAAGGATTATTTACAAGATAAGGATTATTTACAAGATAAGGATTATTAACAAGATAAGGATTATTAACAAGATAGGGATTATTTCCAAGATAATGATTATTAACAAGATAGGGTTTATTCCCAAGATAATGATTATTCACAAGATAAGGATTATTCACACAATAAGGATTATTAATAAGATAATAATTACTCACAAGATAAGGACTATTCACAAGATAAGACACAGACACACAGACACACATACACGCAGCAAAAGACACACATGTATTTTAAGTGTACAAGTAAAGTCGAGGACCCTCTTCCACTTCTGCAGGCATGTTGGGCACAGCTAGTTAGACGTTTTTGTAAAACAATAAAACAATCGGCACTCGGTGGGTGATGTGGTCATCATCGTGCCAGCCGCCTTTACTTCCCTTGACTGTTCCTGGGACCTGATATCCCTTTGAGGCTGGGTCGACCAAAGGGCTAAAGTAATTTTTGAAACAGAATGTCCGCCTATGTCAGGAAGGAAACCCAGGACCTTCCCATTCGCGTGCTAGCATCTAGCCGGACGGACGGACGGAGGGACGGATGGACGGACGGACAGACAGACAGACAGACAGACAGACAGACAGACGGGTGGTGGGTGGGTGGGTGGGTGGGTGGATGGATGGGGTGGGTAGGTAGGTAGGTAGGTAGGTAGGTAGGTAGATAGATAGATAGATAGATAGATAGATAGATAGATAGATAGATAGATAGATAGATAGATAGATAGATAGATAGATAGATAGATAGATAGATAGATAGATAGATAGATAGATAGATAGATAGATCGATAGATAGATAGATAGTATCGATAGATAGATAGATAGATAGATAGATAGATAGATAGATAGATAGATAGATAGATAGATAGATAGATAGATAGATAGATAGATAGATAGATAGATAGATTAGATTAGATAGCTCGATAGATAGATAGATAGCTAGATAGCTCGCTAGATAGATAGATAGCTAGATAGCTAGATAGATAGATAGCTAGATAGCTAGATAGATAGATAGATAGATAGATTAGATAGATAGATAGATAGATAGATAGATAGATAGATAGATAGATAGATAGATAGATAGATAATAAAGAGAGTATATTATCCAAACTCTAGCAATATCTAAACGATTTTCTGCCACGAAACCTGAATGACATGATCTTGAAATTTAAGGATTATAACCAAGATAAGGATTATTTACACTCTAAGGATTATTCACAATATAAGGAATATTCACAAGATAAGGATTATTCACAATTCAAGGATTATTCACAATATAAGGATTATTCACAAGATAAGGATTATTCACAAGATAAGGATTATTCACAAGATAAGGATTATTCACAAGATGATAAGGATTGTTCACGAGAGAAGGATTATTCGTAAGATAAGGATTATTTACAAGATAAGGATTATTAACAAGATAAGGATTATTAACAAGATAGGGATTATTCCCAAGATAATGATTATTAACGAGATAGGGATTATTCCCAAGATAATGATTATTCACAAGATAAGGATTATTCACACAATAAGGATTATTAATAAGATAAGAATTACTCACAAGATAAGGACTATTCACAAGATAAGACACAGACACACATACACGCAGCAAAAGACACACATGTATTTTAAGTGTAGAAGTAAAGTCGAGGACCCTCTTCCACTTCTGCAGGCATGTTGGGCACAGCTAGTTAGACGTTTTTGTAAAACAATAAAACAATCGGCACTCGGTGGGTGATGTGGTCATCATCGTGCCAGCCGCCTTTACTTCCCCTGACTGTTCCTGGGACCTGATATCCCTTTGAGGCTGGGTCGACCAAAGGGCTAAAGTAATTTTTGAAACAGAATGTCCGCCTATGTCAGGAAGGAAACCCAGGACCTTCCCATTCGCGTGCCAGCATCTAGCCGCTACACCACGGTGCTCCCCAGTGGGAAAGTAAAGTTCCCCTCTTCCACTTCTTTAGGCGTATTGGGCATGTAGGACTAGACCTATATTTGATAAACCAATCGGCACACACACCATCGGCCACCTTATCTTCCCAGAACTTTACTTGCTACCCACACAAGGCTAGGTCGACGTGGGAACCAAAGACATTTTTTTTTAAAAGTCCGGCCCTGGAACTACAGATCTGCAGGCGAGAGTAGTCACTAGACCACTGCGGCTCCCCATTTCCAAGTGTCTACTGATAAATAGGGATACCGAGCCGCAAAGAGTGGTACAAAGAGCAACACTGTAGTAAACACTGGGCTAGACAAGTCTGAAAGCAAAGCAATTGTCTTGTCTTGTCTTGTCCACAATAACCTCACAGCGTAGTGGGGAGTCGCAGTTTTCTATCCTGGGCCAGGTGTGTTGCACGTGTTGTTGTTAGTCCGTGTTGTCTCAGGATCTCTGATATATTGTCTATCCATCGTACTCTCGGTCTGCCTCTTGCTCTAGGGCTGTAGTGCTGTTCGTTGTATGCTCGTAGAGGCAGTTGGTCGGTTTGCATTCGCATCAAGTGGCCAAACCACTCTATTTGTTGCTTCTTTATGTATTGCAGGCATGGTGTGGTTCCTACAATTGCTCTAATGTTCTCGTTTCGAACTCTGTCTCTCCTTGTGACATTGGCAGCCTTACGTAAGCATCTCATTTCGCACGTCGTGATCTTTTTCTCCTGTGCTCTTGTTAGGGACCAGGTTTGGCATTGGTAGCAGAGGGTTGGTATAAACATGCAATTTATCAGTTGTCGTTTTAGTGCCATAGTGATGCTTGGGTGTTATGGCAGTGGGGAGAGTTGGTAAGTTACTGCGTTCGCCTTTTGCAAAGCAATAACAACATAAAATATAAAAAACGCCTAGGACGTCTAACGGAAACAATGCAGAAAAGGAAGACGCACCAACACAGTGCGGAAGAAATCGAGAACCCAGTCGCAAATTATTGAAACAAAAATCATAGCAGTAAACAAACTCCTGAGATAAGGTCTGGTTTACCTGGCAGACTCGAATAGAAACCCCATTTGTACCGAATGCGGTACAGAAAATTCAATCGAGTGCTACCTGCCGACCTGCAGAAAAGGCATGGCACAAAGACAAGACATCATAAACTACCATCAAAGAAGGAACAAGACGATGACTCCAAAAAGCTGCCTGTGTGTAGATTATCAACCAGAGCTTCAAAAACTGATAAAGCAATGAATGTATAAGCAGGATGAGCATTAATGAGAATCCCCCATGTGAGTTCCGGGGCCCTATTATAGGGGAAACAATAATAGACCCACTGCCTATCCAAAAGCATGTCGTAAGAGCCGACTAAGCCGACTAATTGGGAGCTTCCTTTGAAGTCGGAATGCATCTGCTTGAGAGGCAAGGAACCAGCAGTCTGCATATAAATGAGTCAGATCTGTAAAACGGATGCGCACGCAACACTCAGGTTATAGAACAGGACTGCAGTCCAGCTGTGGACAAACAACAAAAACTTTGCACCGGAGTCTACAGTCGGTGAACGCGAAGAAGAAGAAGATAAATAAGAATAGTGACAGTCTACTACCCAACCAGAGGAGGGAACCACATTGTTGGGATACTGAAATTATGTCCTCCCATGTTCTGTTGTAGCTATCCTATTATTGTTCTTCCACATCTGCATGTTCGTGGCGTTCATTACTCTGATCTATCAACTTAAGAACCTATCCAGCCCCCCCCCCCCCCCATTCCTTACCTGCATGTCAGTCGCTTGGGGAAGGGTGGGGGGACAAGGTTGTTCCTGGAAAGGACAGTGAGCAGCTTATTAAGCAGCGATGACGCAGTCCGCGCGGTTCCGTTTGTGTTGGTCAGATTGTGAAGTTCGATGATATACTTTTCCTTAGGTTTTATATCTTTCCAAACCGGGTAGGGGAAAAGGGGAGGGGGAAAAGGGGGGGGGGGGGAGATAGATTTGACAAAAAATAGCACTCAACGTATAAAAACTCCAACATGGCAACAAATATACAAAATACTAATCAGCAACAAGAATTTACAACAGCAAGGAAGGACAATGACGCAGAAGACACACACCAAGAGTAAGCTAGTCGGACTTAAAGCCAGGATCGCCACAGACGTGGACACCATCAAGACAAAAACAAGAGAAACCAAGTGCGGCAAAACAAAGGGCCACAAACACACGGAAACAAGCAAAGGAAATAACACAAAGAAAAGAACAACCATCGATACAATTGAAACTAGCAGCTTCTTCTCACCAGGTGAATATGATCCCAGCTCCCCCCCCCCTCCCCAACAGAGAAGCAACCATACACGCAAACACACACACACTACACGATTAAGGACGTCTCTATCAGCAATCTCCTACCTTGTACAGATAGATCCAACCTTTAGGGGCAGACAAATGGCCAGGCACCGCTCTACTGTCATGGCCACCAGCAACCAATTGGCGAAATGGGCAGCAAAAGAGCCGAGAAAAATCAGTGCCGAGCATCCCTCATCCCCGAGCCGGGCGTCGAACTTGGTTAGAATAAAGAAGGCAAACTTAAACAACAGGCACATGTTGTCCACAAAGGCAACTGCCGCCACGTAGACGGTAGGCGAGGAGACCGGTTTCATGCGCAGGATTGTAATGAAACTAACAATGTTACCAGGAAACCCAAAGGCGAACACCACCCAGAGGTAGTAGTTGTTGATGGCGTGGGCCACCTTGAAGATGGTGTACTGTTTCAGCGATATGAAGGGGTTCACTGTGGTGGCCGAAGTGTTAGAGGTGTCGGTCATGTTGTAGAACGCCCCTGCTGTACTGGTGTCTGAGAATTCTTGTTCGAAGATTGGTGACTCCCAACTGGGTGACGTCATATTGGTAAACATGCCCACAATGCTTGTGACGTCAGTTGTCAGAAACTGGTCAGAGAAATTGAGTGTAGACGTCATCTTGAATAGTCACACGTAAAAATGTGTTTGTGTTTTACCAGGAACTGCTAATTTGTTCTTTCTTTATGGTTCTTTTTTCAATCCTAGGGTATTTGTTATTTGTCTCCGAATACTTTGTTTTGGACACTGCGGAACTGATGATACAACAAAAACAAATGGCCTAGTATTATTTATAAGTAATGAACATGATCTAATTGATGACTGTTCTCACATCTGTAGATTTTAGTTACTCATGTCAATAAATTTGTTTGTGGCTACTGTAGAATTGCTGCAACTCACTTGGCTGGCCGCTCAAAACGAGGACGGCACACGTATGGGAATGTACCAGGTGCTGTGGTGCTGGACCGTAACTCCTTACCTCTATTCTACATACTGTAAATCTGTAAATAAAAAAAATATACAAATGCGTCTATAGTAAAAAATAAACATAATGATATACAGATGTGTTTATTGTCAATAATCAACATGGTGAAAAACAGATGTGTTTACTGTCACTAATGAACATGATGATATACAGATGTGTTTACTGTCAATAATCAACATGATGATATACAAGTGTGTTTAATGTCAATAATAAACATGATGATATACAGACGTGTTTACTGTCACTAATCAACATGATGATATACAAGTGTGTTTAATGTCAATAATAAACATGATGATATACAGACGTGTTTACTGTCACTAATCAACATGATGGTATACAAGTGTGTTTAATGTCAATAATAAACACGATGATATACAGATGTGTTTACTGTCAATAATCAACATGATGATATACAAGTGTGTTTAATGTCAATAATAAACATGATGATATACAGACGTGTGTATCGTCAACAATCAACAGGATCTGCTGGCACGACGGTGTTATTTCACAGAAACAACAATTCAGATTATAATTTAATTTTGAAGAAAAAAATCATGTGGATACTATACACAACATACACATATCCGGGCATCTCCGGAAGAAAGATAGACCATAATGCAACAGTGACGGAGGCTGAGCGGCAGTCAATGTTAGGAAACCATCAAACGATTGGAGAAATGACAGATACCTGGTGTAACTGATCAGTATCAACAGTGTCAGTCGATGCCTCTGTTTTCATCCGTTGGGAGATCTCATCCATACTCAGCTGGCAGTGTGCTCACAGAATATCTCCTGCCACCTGTTCAAGGTTGAGTCGAAAATATCTCCTGCCACCTATTCAAGGTTGAGTCGAGAATATCTCCTGCCACCTGTTCAAGGCTGAGTCGAGAATATCTTCTGCCACCTGTTCAAGGCTGAGTCGAGAATATCTCCTGCCACCTGTTCAAGGCTGAGTCGACATTAAAGACCACTTGCAGTAAAACTTAGATAATACGAATTCCCTCTAGACACCTGATACGGTAAAAAGATTCAGTGAAGAAGTGAAGGACTAAGTAAGTAATCAAAAAATGTTTGGATTTTCCCTCCACCCGAAGCGGTAAAAGAGAAGGTTAAGAAGTGAAGAAGCGAAGAATACGACCCCTCTCGACATCCGAAGAGGTAAAGAAGGAAGCTGAATGTTGAATTAAGAATTAGTAATCGACATCATAGCACTCGAGACACTCCCACAAGCGCTCCGTCCATATCTATATCAGAGTTCTAATTCCGACGGCACTTGTCACTGTCGTGACTGTATATTAGTATCGCCTTCCTCTGAGTGTTGAGCGTCGGCCAGACCTCCGGTAAACTTGCAACAGCGCCATTCTCCTCAAACCGTAAAAATCTATCTGCTCATCCGCACTGTTCAGTCGCTCCCTAAAGGCAATCATAACATCTTTATCCTAATATTACTTTAAACCAAATTGATTTAAATGTTACCAGTCCTTCTCCCAGACAAAGCCACTGCGCTTTGTTTAAAATTACCTAACACTACGTAATACAGCCCGCTGGTTCAGACTAGGGATGTGAGGTTGGATTCTCATGCCAGTGTCAGAATGTTATCTCCTGACCACACTGTAGAGGCCAGCGAACGGGGAACTTAGCATCACACCTGAGCTGGACCGTAGGTCATAAAGATTACCTAACACGAGTTGAGCGGACTCTAGACATTGAGGCGACGAGAAGTTTAAAGTTTAACACGTCAGTGTAATTCTGGGGAGAACAGGTGTTTGGCAATTAGGAATGTTTTATCTTGGTCAAGGTCGTACTGTAGGCCGTTCACTGTGAGTGACAGGTCACTGGTTAGCCAAGTTGATCTGATAGTTACCTCAGGGGCGGGGCTTAAGTCATCATCTTGAGGGTTGGGCAGAACCCAGTATAGGGAGGATTTTAATTTGGACAATAGATTGATACTTATACTGCGGGCATCGTAGATTTACCCCATAGTGCCGCCAGCAGGCCACAGACTCAGACCTACCGTTGAAAAGTATTTTCTCCCTGGTTGAGTCGTGTTCGGCATTTGCTGGAAAGTTCCCAGGTGAATATTTATTTTAATCTTGTATACATAGGTTAGGGAGTTAAGCTTAGTCTATACTACCTTTTCTAATTTGTCTGCACATTCTGCTTGAAATAGTTCTTTGTGAGTATTCAGTATCTCAAGTTAGGGAACTGCTAAACTATTCCTATTTCTTGTATGTTTGTGTCACATGTTTTTCAGTGTGTTTTCATGTGTATAAAATAAGATGTGAACAATGACATTTGCTATAATGAAATGTAATTATATTGTTTCCATGATCAGCCAAAATATGTGCAGGGATGCTGCTACGTTTTGTGTGCCCACCATGTGCACACTTAATGTGTTCACCTAAACAGGGGATTTATAACCCCATGGAAAGAATGATGGTTTTACAGTATTTACTGTCACTGAAAGATAATATTCAGGACAGCATGCACATATAAAATGGTTGGAGTTTCAGCACATAACCTGCCCCACGTGTTGATGTAAAAACAATGATTGGAAGTCTGAGTGAAGACGGACAACAGACTTAGAAAGTCAACTATCATGACATAGCATTTGAGGGAAGGCAGGATATGTGACGCCCATGTAAGACAAAAGACCTTCAGACTAGACTGGAGAGGATGTGGAATATGAGGAGTGATGGGATATATTTTATTATTCTATGTTATATTAATTGATACATGTATTCTTAGTGTAAGTCAAGATACTACACGTATGTGTTTTGTTTCCATGATTACAGCTCCCATGTGACGATCAGTCCATGAAAGAGACTACATTGTGTTAGACTCGGCCAGCTGGGAACGAGGTGGGGGCGAGGAGGAGAAACAAGCAGGGAAGAAGCTGGAAGAGGAGGAAGAGCTTGACAGTGCTCACGGCTGTCAGAGGTTCTATGAAAGTTATGTTCATAAATTGTTCATACTTTATCACCTTCATCACACCACTCTAATCCCAGGTGCTGTTCTCGCGATGAAACAACCCATTACTATCATAACTTTAGCTAGTCACTGTTTGTGTAAACACAACAAACTGGGTATGTCAATTAACTGATTGTTAGAAAATAAAGCTGTATGTCAAGTTTTATACTACATCGTTTGTTAAATTCCAAGTGTATTCAATCTTACCTGTTTTCTAAACTGATAGATAGAAGTACATTTGGTGGGGGCTCAAATAATATAATAATTCTTTAATTATTCATAATTACACCAGGAGAAGGTAGATGACGGAGGAATCATTTGCCCTGTCTAATAATTCATTAAGTATAATGCTATAGACATCTAAAATTCCTTGCCTTCTCTTGTGGGTACCAAGTTCAGCTAATGTTAATGTACTTAACGAGCCAATATGGCTGTTTTCTTGGGTATCCAGGAATTTATCTGAGAGCAACATAGCTCAGATTTTAGTTCGGTTAATCTGGTGGAAGGAATGTGTTGAGAGGAACATCCCTACTCAACTTATAAACATTTAAACCACCCGTCACGTCACACCCTTAGCTCTACCTAAGGCTGCATGCAGGAGGTGATTCTTGTCTGCAGCAAGAAGAACGTCTGTTGTATGCTACTATTTAAAAAAAAAGCATGGAAAAAACAAGGCAGCCGGCGCGATGCTAACCGCAACACCCACCGAATATCGCTTGGTCTATCAAACAAAGGTCTAGCCCTATATGCCAAAAAATTTTGAGGGCGTGAAAAAAAGTCCTTTACTTACACTTCAGTGATAGAACTAATCATTACTAGTTTGTTATCTAAAAAAATAATAACTTGTTACCATGAAAAAAAAACCCACATTCCGAGATCAAAGAAAAACTGCAGTACTTGAACACCTTTACCGTGATGAAATAAAAACAAATCATGTATTCAAAATTAATTTTGTCTTGCCAAAATACCGGTCACAGAATGTAGCCTTCTAGTCACACGTGCCCAACAGCTGTCACTCTTGTGTTCTACAGCCCGTTAGAAGAAACACACAGAATGTAACGTTCTAGTTACACGTGGCCAACAGCTGTCACTCTTGTGTTCTAGTGCCCGTTAGAAGAAGCACACAGAATGTAACGTTCTATTTACACGTGCCCAACAGCTGTCACTCTTGTGTTCTACTGCCCGCTAGAAGAAACACACAGAATGTAACGTTCTAGTACACGTGGCCAACAGCTGTCACTCTTGTGTTCTACTGCCCATTAGAAGAAACACACAGAATGTAACGTTCTAGTACACGTGGCCAACAGCTGTCACTCTTGTGTTCTAGTGCCCGTTAGAAGAAACACACAGAATGTAACGTTCTAGTTACACGTGGCCAACAGCTGTCACTCTTGTGTTCTAGTGCCCGTTAGAAGAAACACACAGAATGTAACGTTCTAGTTACACGTGGCCAACAGCTGTCACTCTTGTGTTCAACAGCCCGTTAGAAGAAACACACAGAATGTAACGTTCTAGTCACACGTGCCCAACAGCTGTCACTCTTGTGTTCTAGTGCCCGTTAGGAGAAACACACAGAATGTAACGTTCTAGTCACACGTGC